TTCATTGATGAAAGTTCGTAGGAAAAGTTAGACAAAATCTCTGCAATAGGATCCACTCCGAAAACATTTGTAAAACCACAATTTGATTTACAACTTGTTGTTAGAAATTACTACACATTTTTGGACTTTTCGTGATTGATATGCCATTAACAACATCGAATTGGTTGGATTACTATTTTTCTAACGGAATCCCTTTATGTTTGAAAGTTTTATATGTAAGATAATGTAGAAACACATATTGAAGGATAAAATAATTTCTTGTGATTTTTTCTCATATCATAATGTAAATGAAAAATAATAATTGGAGTACTTGAAAAAATCCTAAGTCAATTTAGTTCATCCTTGTCTAAGTACTTTTCTGTTTCTAAATGACTCAATATAGTTAAGAATTCTAATACATTAATCAAATATACACACTCACCTTAAGTTATTTTGGAGGCTTTTTTATTAGTGACGTGTCTTTTTGCTCCTTGGAACTTCTTTAGAGCTGCACATGTAGTGACAAAACTGTTTATTTCATCGGTAGGCTAGTTGCATACATACTATCTCGTGTTATATTCGAATCATTGTTTATTGTGTTGTTGTACCATGCCTTTCGATAAAAAACCTCTCATTTATCACTCATACTTTCAACGGTGTTTGCTCATTGCTAACCCTTAAACAACTTTTATTGTTCCTTCATTAAGGTTTTTGAATAAGAACTCTATGATCAATGTACTGGACTATATACCTAAAATTGTGACAACAATTATGATCATAATTTTTCGGTTAGGAGCATTCGGGTGTCAAAGATACTTAGCTAAGACGCAAGGCACTTAAACGTTTAACCTCAGTGAAGGTCCTCAAGAAAGCTAATTATATGTAAGAACTTTCATGTAATTTTTATGAGCATTTAAGTATTTTGGTGAGCAATATTTTGGCATGAAAATGATCCTTAATTCCTAAATTACATGCGGCACGAATACACATTAAATTTTAAGATATATAACATTATGCTAATACAGATGAGCACTTCTACTATGCTTTAAAGTATTGGTGCTTTAAAGTACAAATTGAAGTTGTACCATAAAAGAATTTGACAATTATGTTATGGTACAACTTGAAGTTGTACCATAACATGAAAGTACAACTTTAGTTTGAACCATAAAGAGATTTTACAAAAAAGTATAGGTACAACCTAAATTTGTAGCATAACGTTAAAAGTACAACTTCAAAATGTACCATAAAAGCAAAAACTAACTTTAAAGCATGCTAAAATTCCTCTAATAATGATACAGGGACAAAAAAAGAAAGATATAGGTGCTTGCGCCTAGAAACATTGCTGCTCTGGTTTTGTAATCTTCGTATTCTTTGCTAATTCTTTAATAGAGTTTTTAAAAGAGCAAAAGCCTTTCCTGCATAAAAAATCAAAAGACTAAAAGCTCCCTCCGAACTGTGCGCAGAAACTAGGGATAATGGAATGAAGTGGGTGCCCGCCAAGAACCTCCTTATATAATTTGGAGGATTATAGATGGGAAAACTGAGATATCTGACCCAACATTATAGATTTAGGGGTCATTTGGAGAATATCCGTCTAAATCTACAAATTGTAAAAAATCTAAAGATTCTAACTCTTTGGATTGTTGAAAATAGATTTTAGAATGTTTATTGTTTGGTAATTGTAATTGTTAACATTCAAAAATGTAACACCCTACTACTTCTTGTAACATCCTACTACTTCTTCTCGTACTATTGGAAATATCATCACATTATATACTCATTAAACCTTAGGTTTTATCTTCACATTCAAACCTGGACATAACACCAACATACATGTTACATCACCTGCTTAGGAAATTTAAGGTAGTTTTCCCAAAGCATCCAAAAGCATAACAATGAACGGTGCAAAGTTTGAGTTTAAAACAAAGTACAAACCCAACATAGTAGTTCAACATTCAGTGGGTACACATGCTTAAAAGCGTTAAAACGTTTAGTTCGACTTCAAAAGTGAAAACATGTGAAAACACGTCAAGCTTGTTGGCATGACCATCAGAGCAGTACATTGGATTGACAAACCCTCCAGAACAAAGACATGGATACATAAGGAATTAAATCTCTGGTCGTCCAATTAAGCCTCAAATAAATTGCAAAGTTAAAGCAGAACCAAACATTAGAGATTTGCCAGGAACACAAATTGCAGCACCCGATCAAAAGAAGGAAAAACTAACATCTAAAAGATGAAAAAAGTTTCAAGCATCTTAGGGCCATTCAAGAAGAGAAGTTCACCTGAGGTGTCAACCAAGAAGATTGTTATGAGGTGTACAAGTCCACTGATGGGGATGTGAGAATGCAGAGGAACCGGCTAGAACAAAACTCATGCATGAGCAAGGCAGGGATTATGTTGAACAACGGTGATTCCTTCCTCCATTTCTCTTCGTCCTCCTCAATTTGACTCTCGAGCTCTGCAAGATCTAGTACCCGATTATGATGAAACAACTAACAGTGTTCCAGAAAAGGCCCCTGCTCCTCCGAAGCCCCTATGCTGCCAGATTTCCCTCTTACTGCAGCGTTGCCGCTTTCAAATCAGAGTCACCATTTGATTTCTGTTTGACCTACGACAAGAGATCAGCTCTTAAAATCCAGATCACACACTCAATGCATCGCTATGGGTCTGCAAACCTTATGAACGGAGAAACGAATAAAAAATAAAATAAAATACATGCGCATACCCTCTTCTCCCCAAGGAAGTTGCGAATTTCAATGGTTTTGTTGGCGTTGGTGATGGATGCGTTGATGGGGAAATGAGCATACACGAACCACATCTTCTTCCGCCAAAGGACGACGTCAACACGAACTGTTTTTGCCATGACTACTGCCGCGTCAATCAAGGCAGTGTGCCTTATCAAATTGGTGACCGTGACTATGGCTACGATGCATGAAAATGAGAAGCAATCGGCGTCCTTCGAGTCGATGGCAGCTTTGGGGGAAGGAGTAGCTTGTGAAGTTGTTATGGTCGTGTGCGTATCGCCGAGTAAGGGGTCGCTCGAATTGAGATTGGAGCCAGGGTGTTGGTAAAGAAGGGGAAGAAGGTGGGGATTGGGTTTTACTTCTTAATTGCCTGCCTCTTTATTCCTTTGCATAAAGTTTATATAGCAACAATAAAACCCCAAACGGCTCTCGACAACAGAGGCCTTGTAAACCGGGGATAATCCAAACGCCTAGAACGTGGATCGAACTGGAAAAGTAAAGGGAAACAAACTAACAGTGGCAGACTAATGGGCATATAAAATAGGCACGTGACATTCCTCCCCGCTAGAGAAGACCTTTGTCCGCAAAGGTTAAGTCAAGGTACCGAGCTTGCATCACATTCGTAAACTCCCAGGTAGCTTCTGCCGGTGAATGGCCAGCCCAGTGGATGAGTTTTGTTCTAGCCGGTTCCTCTGCATTCTCACATCCCCATCAGTGAGTTATGTTTAAGTGGAAGGAGCACTTCTACTATGCTATACTAGTCACGGGCCCGGCCGGTTGGCCGGATTCATTTGTCAATCGCGTAAATAGTCATATCAAATTGTATGTGAGAATTGAGATTAGCGTTTCTTTGGTAGTATGTTAAAAATAAAGGTTTATGAAATTACATAACATTCTAATTTCTTGGTTGCATAATAGAATTGTAATTATTAGGCAAAATACAGCTGTATATCCACAACTATCATGTTTGTGACAAATATATCCACAACTATCGAAATACACGAAATATCCATTTCCGTCCACTCCGTTAACTCCGTCAGTTAACTTGATGACTGGACAGACGGTGGATGCTTAGTTGGCGTGTTTCTGACCCCACTAAATGACGTGGATTAAAAGAGAAAAAAAGATTTAGGCAAAATACAGTTGTATATCCACAACTATCAGGTTTGTGACAAATATATCAACAACTATCGATATACACGAAATATCCAAAAATCGGAAGGTTGTGTGACAAATCTATCCATTTTCGTCTGAAACTATAACGACGTGTCAGATGGCGTTAAATTGACTAACGGAATGTTGAATCGATGCCATCTCACCTGCCACATAAGCCAAAAAGGAACCAAACTTTACACCGTTATCTGTTAGACCTCGCTGCTGCAGTCTTCTCTGTTGGCGATTTGGTTAGATTCAAGTTTTTTTTTTTTAGATTCAAGCTTGGTATCACCATGACGCCGACTGCATGGAAGCTATCGGAGTAAAAGGGAGGCAATGGTTGGGGATTGTGGTTGGAATCAAAATCTAGGCTTGGGTAGGGTTATTTGGGGGTGGAGGCGTCGATCGGAGGAGGATAAGTGGTTATCGGGCATGTTTCTTGGTTGGATTTTTAGTCTCGTCGTCTGTGATTTTTAGGGTTTTTAATTTTTTTTCCTCTTTTAATCCACGTCATTCAGTGGGGCCAGAAACACTCCAACTAAGCATCTATCGTCTGTCCAGTCATCAAGTTAACTGATGGAGTTAACAAAGTGGACGGAAATGGATATTTCGTGTATTTCGATAGTTGTGGATATATTTGTCACAAACCTGATACTGGTGGATATATTTGTCACAAACCTGATAGTTGTGGATATACAGCTGTATTTTGCCTTTATTCAACTAGCCTATTTGGCATCTACGTGTAAAATTTGGTTGCTTTTTGGCTTATGTGGCAGGTGAGATGGCATCGATTCAGCATTCCGTTAGTAAATTTAACTCCGTCTGACACGCCGTTATAGTTTCAAACGGAAGTGGATAAATTTGTCACACAACCCTCCGATTTTTGGATATTTCGTGTATTTCGATAGTTGTGGATATATTTGTCACAAACCTGATAGTTGTGAATATACAACTGTATTTTGCCTTATATGTAATATAGGCAAGAACGGGTCGAGAATCGGACGGGTCAGGACAGGTCGAGTCGATGAGAGGTACCCATGCTTGCCCCGCCTACGGGCCGGGTTGACCTGCCCCAAAACAGATCAAACAGGTCGGGTAAATCGGGTCAGGTCGAAATTGTCATCCCTAAGCGGCACCTCAGTCTAGTTAATTAAACTCATTTTTATTTTATTTTTTTAATATGTTAATCCCCGCCCCTGCAGTCGGCCACGTGCCCTTAGGCTGCTAAAATACTGGACTGAATCCAATCATCCATCCTTGTAATATTCTCTCTCCTTCGTCTCCACCGCCGGCTGACCTCATCCGGAGTCTTCTCTCCTCCGCGCCGACGAACGCAACCAAAACGCAAGACTACACCGGAAACTGAAAGGTTAGGGATCTAGTCGCAAGAATTGTCAAACGCCGCCTCCCGCAGCAAAATCTTGAGAGATGCATCCTCTCTACGCGGTGATCGCGACGAGGATGGTCTCCACCATGGCCCAATCGGAGACCGGCGACGAGATACCTTACGGAACCATCACCTGGTTCGTCTACGCTGGAATATCCTGCTTCCTCGTCATCTTCGCCGGAATCATGTCCGGCCTCACTCTCGGCCTCATGTCCCTCAGTCTCGTCGACCTCGAAATCCTCCAGCGCAGCGGTACCTCCGCCGAGAAGAAACAAGCAGGTTTGCTCGACGCTTCTCCCCCCTCCCGCCGTGCTTTTGACTGGCTTTCTCTTCTCGTTCTTCTTGCTTCCCGCTGGCCTCCGATTCGTTTCCGATTTCGCCGCTCGATTCGTGAATTTGTTTCTCAATTAGCTTTTCCTAATCGGTGTAGCGGGTATACTTCCTGTGGTTCAGAAGCAGCATCAACTTCTGGTGACTCTACTTCTCTGCAATGCCGGTGCGATGGAGGTAATTTACAGCAGGATTCCCTCCCCTCGCCTCTTCAATTGCTCTGTTAGAATTAGAAAGAACACTTCCAACTAGCCAGAGATTTGGATTTCTCATTTCGATTCCTAGTCCGCAAAATTGCCTTGTTGTGTCGACTCTAGAAGTCTGTTAGCTTGATTGAATTAACAATTGTGCATTTCCCACTACGAAATTGCAGGCACTACCTATATACCTGGACAAGATGTTCAACCAATACGTTGCAATTATACTCTCAGTGACGTTTGTTCTGTTCTTTGGGGAGGTATATATGTTTTTTTTTTTTTTTAATGTTGAGTGAGCCTTTTTGGGCTGAGCTCTTTTTACTTTAATGGTTTCCATCATGGAATTATGTTTGGCCTGAATTAGGAATTGGCATCTTTTGTGGGAGTAGGTTATTCCACAAGCAATATGCACCAGATATGGTCTCGCTGTGGGTGCCAATCTAGCTTGGCTGGTGCGTGTTCTGATGATCATTTGCTATCCCATAGCATTTCCCATCGGAAAGGTAACATGACCAATGATGCTTTTGTAGTTCTTCTTTATCCATTATCAATGAAGTTTGCAGCATTCCAAACTACTCGGGATGAAGGCTTAGCTTCCAGTAGCATATGAAAAAGATGCATAATTAGCTGTGTAGTGGTAGGAATCTCTCTGGTCTCCACGGCCTTATTTTGCCTTCAATTTTTGTGTTTTCTGTATTCAGATTTTGGACTGTGTGTTGGGGCATAATGAAGCACTATTTAGGCGGGCTCAGCTGAAAGCCCTTGTTAACATACACAGCCAGGAGGTAGGAAATATTAGCTTCACGGTTATACATCAAAGCTGCTGAAACATAATAGCTTTTTCTCGACCTTTAATCTGCATAACTTACTAATTATTCTGTCTATCTAGGCTGGGAAAGGAGGAGAACTTACACATGATGAGACAACGATCATCGCTGGAGCGTTAGATTTAACCGAGAAGGTACATATCAAGTACCAACTCAGTTTTTTTGTGAAGAAAGCATGTATCTTGGTTCGTCTTGTCTACTCAAGTTATTTTGGATTTAAAGGCAAAAGTTCAAGTTACCAGTTATGCACTGAATGTAGCATATTCTGTTCAAGAAGCTAATGACACAATATTGTTGTCCCGAGTTGCTCTTAGTGTCCAATTAGCAGAAGAATGTATTCTTCTTTTCCGATTCTTCTGGTCGTGAAATCTCAAGATCTCGAACTAATGCCTTTTTATTCTCTTTTTGAATTTTTTTAACAGACTGCTGAAGAGGCTATGACACCTATAGAATCAACTTTCTCCTTAGATGTCAACTCCAAGTTGGACTGGTAATTAATCTCGTTTTCTGTGCGACATCTATATCCTCTCCTCTTGTCCATCCATCATTTGACATGCATTACTCTGCTTGATCCCCGGAAATGCTGATATACATGCAGGGAGGCAATGGGGAAGGTTCTGGCTAGAGGACATAGCAGAGTTCCTGTCTATTCTGGAAACCCCAAGAATGTCATTGGACTTCTCCTGGTGAGCGAGCTTTCAACAAAAGCTTGAACTTTGAAATTTGACCTTCTGACAATCATTATCTTTGCAATTAACCTCTTACTATGCATGGTACTAGGTGAAAAGTCTTCTCACAGTAAGACCTGAAACAGAGACCCCTGTCAGTGCTGTCTCAATCCGAAGAATTCCACGGTAATATCTTTTTGATCTATTCCTCTCATGTGTCTCCTTTATATTTTCTTGCTATGAGTATTCAAAAGAGATTCACTCATGACGATTAACATTTCCATTTCCAGGGTACCTTCAGATATGCCACTTTACGATATACTAAACGAGTTTCAGAAGGGAAGTAGCCATATGGCAGCTGTAGTTCGGGCCAAAGGGAAAAGCAAAACTGAGAAACAAGAAGAAAACATAGGAATAGGGAAAGATCAGCTAACGACTCCTTTGCTGTTCAAGGTGGACGAAACACCCGGAACTGTTATTGTGGATATTGATAGGTTTGCAAGTGCAAGGGCAGGGTACGGATTGCCTCAACAATCCGATCAAGATATAGAGGATGGTGAAGTTATTGGTATCATCACTTTAGAGGATGTGTTTGAAGAACTCCTGCAGGTACATATGACCAAAGGCCTGACCCTTCATTGACCAACTAGCTACCCCTGTAACTGTTGGTTTCAGTTGGCCGTTATTTACTTAAACCATATTTGTGATCTCGCTGACTTTTGCAGGAGGAGATTGTGGACGAAACAGATGAATACGTTGATGTTCATAAAAGGTATCAACATTAATCTTTCTAATTGTTTATTGGAAACCAAAAAACTTATATGAACCTAATGACTTACTACATAAACCATAATTCCGTTTGCTTGTTGGATGGCTTTTGCTCAAATTTAATCCTTCCTGTTTCCGCCTATCTTCCAGTTTTTCATGTCGAAAACCATCAATCCAAAATGTTCCAGTTGCGTTTGTGCTGTACTTTGAACTGGAACCTTTTTCATGTTTTCCCTTGTCTGCAGAATTCGCGTTGCTGCTGCTGCAGCTGCATCGTCAGTGGCTCGAGCTCCATCAAGTCGGAGGCTAATAGCAGCCAACAAAGGAGCTGTAAGTGGTCCAAATCAATCCCGGTTTGGAAATTGAACATAGTTCTGGTAGCTCATTCGTCTCCTTTTCGTGTTTGCTTACGATTTGGTAAAATTAATTCCACAGGCAGGGCAGGGGAAGTCCGGGCAAACCCCGAGGAAATCGGACCACGACTCGAGTACCCCAAGGCTATTAGGAGGAAGTGCTGATGCTGGTGCAGCAGAACATTATAGAAGCAAGACATCATAACATAGTTGACTAAGCAGAGTGTTGGTTTTGGTCCTGTAATTATTTGAGGCAACGATAATCTAGAGAATGATGGATTCAAGCTGTGTTGTCCTGTGCCCTAAACTAAGCAAAAGAAAGAAGCAAGTTCATTGCAGCGTATCAATATATGTAAACTCAATGTATCAAATTTTGGTTTCCATCATTCGTCAAAATACAAGTGCACTGATATTGCAAGGAATTCCTGCTATACTATTAATGCATGCGTATTGTATTCTATGCACATATCATATGCATGCATAATACGTATGTTATACACGCATGAACGAACTTGTGCAGATCGACCGAAACGTAATTGTTCTTCCCATCTGCTCTGGCTCTCCGGTGATGAACATCAGATGGAATGGAGGTGAAAGGCTTGGAAGCCGCTGAGTCAGTCGTCGTGATCGGAGTCCCAAGTGAGGAGGATGAGGGAGCATTTCCAGATGATGTAGAGGCGAGTCCGCTGCTCCCTCGCCGCCCTTCGCCATGACAGCAATGTTGGAAGCAGCTGCTTCTGCAGCCCCCGCGGTCTCATCCATCCCAAGCAATGCCTCCCCTTCATGATTGATTAACAACAGAAATTAAGAAGAAGAAAGAAGACGACTGCTTTAGTTTCCCAGAACAACTCAGAAGTCAGAACCAGAAAGAGATTTTTTGGAGCTGGGAGTGTATGTATGTGTGTTTATAAGTTATAACAGGTAGCAACTGCCAACTATCAAGGTCAGTTCGTTACACATATATATATATATTAGACCTTTCTGCTGAAACCTAGAGAGAGAGAGAGAGAGAGAGAGAGTAAAGTAGAGGGCCTACATGGATGGATGAATACAAGAGCAGGGGGGCCTGGGGGGAGAAGAAGTAGAAGAAAGGTAGGTGTGTCCTGTTTGACACAACAGCCACCTGGAAACTAATGAGAAACATTTATAGTTTTGTGAGAGAGGGTTTCCCCACCACAGCTTCTTATCTCTAAAAATCCCAAGCCCTACCTTTGTCTCCACTGTCTCCATTAACTCGAAAAATTTCTCATGTTAGATAATATATTATGGTTCCATTAATGTTATAGATACCAACCAGCTGAAATTGGAAACATGCCTGCTGCTGCTGCTGCTTCTTCGACTGTTCAACCATATATTAAAACTATAAAGAAAGCTCACTGTTGTCTCCATCCATCCATATATGATTGTGTACTCTCAATCTTAGTCGACAAAATAGGAATATATAATATTGGGAAACCAAACCACACGTACAAGGATGCAGTGTCTCAATCGGTACCACGTTGGTACAAGGATCGAAAGGAACACACAAAGTGGTGCAACAAGAAAAGAAGACAAGCTCTAACTTATTAACTACAGTTTGTTGTCTGTAACATCATCTAACAATATAATTAGAAGCTTGCCTTGGTTGTTTAGGAACATTAAGAACACAAAAGTGGTATAACATAACATTCCCTAAGCAGTGATATAACGAAAGTGTTTCATTTGTTTTTATTGCAGTTGCAGATGAGAATGATAAGCAAAGTAGTGCCTGGTGAAATACAAAGGTCCTCTACTAGTTGAGGAAGCAACAACAGAGACAAAACCTCTAGTCAAGTCTATGAACTTGAAAAACAAACTATATATCCAGCTAGCACCATTTCTACAAATGCACATGCAGAGAAGTAGCTAGCTAGGTTAGCCATGTTTGATGATGATCAGGAGGAGTAGTTGTATTTGTGCCAGCAAAGGAGCATGGTGATGCATACCCTCATAACGTACAGCTTCCCTTTCTGCTGCCTCACCATTCTCTTCCACTTCCACCTCCATCCTCCTTCATTTGAGCTTCCAGTAGTGTTACCCATTTCACTAGTTGGGATTCCCTGGGTTTGTGGTGGTTTGGGGATCATTCATTAGTTAATTAAGGAACCCAATCTTCCAATATATATATACACACTGACACACACACTTGTGACTTGTCCATCAACAGTATACATTTACGTTGTGGGGCCCGTGTGATGTAGAATAGGAGGGCCTTGTCAACAATGGAGGCCCACTTGTGCGTTGAAGCCCACGTGGGTTATCACATGGCACCCCTTTCACTTCCAACTCAAAGGCCCATAGGCCATGCCCTCCCCTCCCCTGTTTCGGCCAATTAGCTTCCTTGATCCCCACTCATAATCAGAGGCTATCATCGCCTGTCAATCAAGCCTTAACTACGGGTCAAGTAATACCCTTATCTTGTACAGAAACCCCTGCTCCACTGCCTCTCAAAGCACCGCTCAACGTGACTGAGTAATGTGTCAACATCCAAACGTGTCTAATCATATTCATTCATATATAGATGAGAATGAGATGACCCAAGTTCTGCCAAAGGGTATCTGCCCTGCCCCCTCAAAACGATAAGATCCGTCTACTAAAGTCTAAAACCCTCCCCTGTTTCAAGATTTATGTGGACCCTCAACCTTTTTGCATATTTGACAGCATTTATATGTATAGGTTTGATTAGTGCTCATTCAATTCAAGCAACCACGGTGACTCAACTTTGATTCACTATCAGCATGTCATTCACAGATTAGCTTAACTAATTGACCTGATAATCATTTCTTTCATTTGCATTTCATTGTTCATCTTCACAATGAATGTCTCCACTCACCTAAAGAAAAGAAAGTGTCTTTAGCAGTATTGAAGGACAGGTTTAAGCGGGTTTTGCATGAAGAGTTTTGGGATGAGTTAGCGCTTTTGCTTATTTGAGCATCTTAGATACAAGAACAAACAAAACAAACGGACAATTGCTACGTTTAATCGACTCAAATTTCAGTAAGAAGGTGACGTACAACTCGATCTACTAAATATTATTGGTATACACCTAAAAAGCGTATAATGAACCTTACTTGAGTAAGAGAGTGATAACTGTGATAAAAATGATTGGTATACAATGGAAAGCGTACAATGAATCTTCCTGTAAACAGCATATGCACCAACAAGAAGTTTTTTCTTCTCTCATGTTGAAGAAGAGGAAAATGTGGCAGGGAAATGAAGTGATGGTAAACCAACATCCATGGACCAAGCACACGTGGCAGACAGGACTAGCCAGTTGGAGACAAAAGGCTAAGGTCGTTCTCAAGATCTGGAAAAGCAATCATGGATAGTTAAGCCCTAAAGGCATGCAGTTGGAGGGCCAGAGGCAGGCGGGTGTGGGGTGTGATTATATATGTTTGGTTGACGAGACAAGTTTGTTTCTAGGGTGGGATCTAATCTAATTTGTCGAGTGAGATATGTATTATGCAATTATTGTCCTGTTTTGATGCTAATTAACAACTTGGATATCTAGCTATATGGGATGTGACTAACTGAAGCACCACACTCACAACATTCCCTTTCAGCTGGCCTGCTCTCTCACTCTCCTTGGATTCCAACTACTGATGATCAACCTTCTCACTTGTTTGGAATGTGTCTGTTAAATCTGCAGACCACATTGGATGGCAAGTCAAGTATGATGATATGATGATGCTCTTCGTCCATCTCTTGGAACTTGGTTATAAATAATGTACTCGGAATTGTGATATTGTACATGTTGATTAGGATAATGGTTTGGCAGAAAGGTGCTTCTTTAGATGAGTTTAGTACTTTTTGTGCAATTAATTTGTATAATAGTTAATATCAATCGAAAAATAGTGATCAATATCAATTTTTATTTCTTAGTGGATCGAACGACACATTAAACTAGTTTGTTCAGGTACAAATTCATCCACAAGGTAATGTCAAAGGTAATCCTTATTGTGTAAGAGGCTAAAGATTTCTTTCACCCCATAAGTATATTAATGTAAGGGTTTGGATCCGGAAGAGAATGGGAGGTTTACCAACACCACCATGTCCATGACTCTCTTATCTCGCGGCTATGACTTCGCGTGATTTGGTGTACTTTTTCGACACGCATGAAATGTGAACTTTGCATGACTTCTTGACGAAATGTCATGTCTTAATTGACTCATGCACATGCTCGTTTGATTGGGCTTAAAAATCAAAATTAATGAGTTTCTTCTTAAATTAAGTTAATTATGATAATTTTCTTGACCTTACGAAAGCAATAATTATCTTATAATTAATCAATATGGTATAAGATAATTGTTAGGTGTAAGCAGGAAGAGAATGTGAGGTTTCTCGATTTGTATCCCCGGACAGGGGGTAGAACTCCCTGCCGCTAGATCTAGAGTAGTTTGTCGGTGCCAATTAAGAGAGCGGGAAGTAAAAGGAAGGTCGTCGAAAAAAAGATGATTAGAACGGAGGGTTGACAAAGACGTCGGAAGAATGGATATGATGTTTTAATTTGGCAATCTAATTTTAGGATACAATTATTTAATTAATTGAAAAATAAATTTCAACAAGATAAAAAAAATATTATATATTACACGTGTTGATGTGACACCTACTTAAAACCTACCTCATTGGCAATAAAATAAAGTTTGACCATCATTCAATCAATCGTTACGATCAACATAAAACATCATGATACTAATGATATGATACTCTTATACATTGTACTAACTCGAAACACATATGTGTTGGTGCTAGAAATGATACTTCTTAATTATTCGAATGTTTGTGACAATTTTAGTTTTACTGAATGGTGAGCTAGGGCAGCCGTTCAATCAAACCCCAAAATGGCTACAAAATATAACGGATAGCAGCCCATATCTCAAATTGGCCCATGGTCAACCGGACCACAAACTTGATCCAAGCAAAAGCCATAAAAAAAAAGTTTGCATGCACGTCCAAATTCCAATAGAATCCTTTGTCTTTTTCTTCCATGAAGGTATCCCATATATAATCATCAAATTCTCCAATTTATTTTCTGGCACTTCTTCTGCATGTAATTGTTTCCATGCATGCATGACATGCCACGTATTAATTAAATTCAATATAACGACGTCATTTTGTTTTGGGACCGAAAATAGATCATATCGGATGGACTACTATTTTTGTTGTTTTGACCGTATTGACGCTCAGTTTGTATTGGGGTATTTCAGTCGGTCAACTTTGTATTCGATACCAGTTGAGTTTGGTTGTATCGGTAGTCATGTCATTGGTTAAACGGTCCATACATGGTTATAACCAGGGGCGGACCTAGGTTGGTGATAGGTTTGACAACTGACAAACATTGATTCAATTTTAGAACAAAATTCCTTGGTAAAATTTTGATTTATTAATGGTGGTATTTGAATTCAAGACTATTTGACAATTCTTGTTAATTTTGTTTTATTGTTGAATATCCTTGATGTAATTCCTGGGTCTGCCACTAGTTATAGCTGCAAGTTTTGAAGGGTTTTTTTCAAGCTTTGAGTTAAGTAAAAACAAGCTATGAAATCGAATAAATTTGTGAAAGGTATTTGGTCAACACGACATATGAAATAGAGATTACAATTTTGACCTGACCCGTATTATCCAACCTGTTTGACTTGTTTTGATGCGGGACGGACATGAGTACTCTCCTCAACTTGACCTATCCTGACCTGTCCCATTCTTGATCCGTCGTTGCCTAAATAAACTACGTGTAATTTTATTCAAATTACTTATAATTTTAGTTTTATCACTTCATATTTTAGATATAATAAAGTTGTAAATATATAAGTGGGAATGTCAATTGTTTGGATAATTTAACTACAATTATCATAGTTGGTTTCATGGATTTTTAATGAGAAATTTG